GTTTTGTTTTTTCCTTTCCTCTTCGTGGAGTCTTAATTGCTCTTTCTTGTAGGATGTTGTGTCTCTCCTTTCCCCTCTAATAAAAAAAAAACTTCCTCTTTAATTTTGCTCTGTTGTTCCTTTCTCTTTTGGAAATCTTACATTTCTCTGATCTTTTTTATTTTTTAAAAATTCTTATGATCAATTTATTTATCTAATTTATTTTTTTGCACGGTTCTGCATTTCCCTTCCCCTTATGAAACTTTCCTCATATTTCCTTTTTGCACGCAGATGTATCTTCTTTCTCCTCATGAAAAACTTCCTTCTCTCCCTTGCCCTGTTGTTCCCCCTTTCTCCCTTAAAGCTTCCTCTAACTTCCTCTTGTTTTTATACTCCTTACGAAAACTTCCTCCTCTCTCTGAATCTCCCCCACTTAAAAAAATAAATCTTCCTCTCCCCTGCCTTCTTTGAGTCTCCCTTCCCACTTCCCTCCTCCCTACCCCTCCCTCCTAAAAAAAAAAACCCTCTTCCCCTTCTCTAATTCCTCTTATGCAGACCCAGACTTCATGGAACCCCATTAAAACAAAGAAAGAAAGAAAGAAAAAAAACTAATAAAAAACAAACAAATAAACAACAAACAACAACAACAGCATTGCATCACTTTCCAATAAATTTCTTTTATGTTTACTTTTTTTCTGCAACAGTGAAAGTGGAACAATCCGTATTATTGCAAGCTAAACGAACCGCTCTTTGGGACAAAAGCAAGTGAAGCTTAATCGAATCCTTTTGTTTGTATTTAAATTTATTCCACTCTTGTCCATTCTGCCTTTTTTTCTAGGCGGGTTGTTATGATTCAATTCACTTCACATTTTGTCTTTATTTCAATCATCACTTTTTGTCCATTCACATTTTTGTTTTGTTTTTCAATTATACTTTTAATTAGCTTTTTGTCCATTTTCTATTGTTTTGTTCGTGTTTCAATACTACTTCACTTTTTTTTCGTTTTTCAATAATTCTTTATTTGTTTTTCAAATTACTTCATTTCAAAATCTATATTTCCCAGTCTAGCACTAAAAGAAGAGGAGAAGGAGGAGGAGGAGAAGAAGAAGAATGTTAAATACTAATCTAAAAAGATAATAACCAATCCGTTACGTTAAATACTAATCACACACTACGTAACTTGAAGTACCAAATCATCGTACAAATCTGTAACTGCAAGTACCAATTCATACAAATGTAGAACCAATCCATAACGTCAGGTACCAATCCATACCAATCTATAACCAATCCATAACTTGAAGTACCATCCATACCTATAACCAATCCATAACTTGAAGTACCAATCCATACCTATAACCAATCTTTGAACCATCCATATCTATAACCATCCATAACTTGAAGTACCATCCAACCAATCTATAACCAATCCATAACTTGAAGTACCAATCATACATCCATCTCTATACCAAACCAATCCATAACTTGAAGTACCAATCCATACCAATCTATAACCAATCCATAACTTGAAGTACAATCCAAACAATCTATAACCAATCCATAACTTGAAGTACCATTACCCATAAATCTATAACCAATCCATAACTTGAAGTACCAAATCCATACCAATCTATATAACTTGAAGTACCAATCCATACCAATCTATAACCAATCCATAACTTGAAGTACCATTTCATACCAATCTATAACTTCAAGTACCACTTCATACAAAGCTATAACTAATCTATAACTTCAAGTACCAACTCATACCAATCTATAACAACTCTATAACTTTAAGTACCATTTAATTCCAATCTATAACCGATAAATAACCTACAGTACCATTCCATACCGATCTATAACGTCAAGTACCATTTCATACCAATCTGTAACTTCAAGTACCAATTCATAGCACTTTGTAACCAATCTATAACTTTAAGTATAATTTCATACCAATCTATAACATCAAGTGCCATTTCATACCAATCTATAACTTCAAGAACCAATTCATACCATTCTATAACTGCAAGTATCAATTTATATCGATCTCTAACTTCAAGTACTAAATCATACCAATTTACAACCAATCTATAACTTCAAAAACCAATTCATACTAAGTTATAACTTCAAGTACCAATTCATACCAATTTACAACCAATCTATAAAGTACCAATTCATACCAATCTAGTAACTTCAAGTACCATTTCATACCAATCTATAACTTCAAGTCATTTCAGTACCAATCTATACCAACCCATTCTAACTACCATTTCTGCCAAGTATAATTCATATCTATCTCTAAACGTCAAGTACCATTTCATACCAATCTTAACTTCAACCATTTCATAACTCTATAACTTCAAGTACATTTCCATACAATCTATAACCAAGTACCATTTCATACCAATCGAAGACCATTCATACCAATCTAAACAAAGTAACAAACATTCTATAAATTCAATACCAAAATCATACCAATCTATAAACATCAAGTACAATTCATACCAATTATACGATAAATAGGGCATAATCCTTGAAAATGGACTGTGGATTAATCACTCAATTTATAATAGTGTCAAAAATTCAGTGAGAACAGAAAACCGGTATAGTGATCACCATATGACAGTGACATAAAAATACGGAGAATGTCGGATGGTTTATAGTGATGACTGTGTTTGTAGTGGTGATGTTTTGTGTGGTTAGGGATAGTATGATGATGGTGATGATGAGGTGATGATGGTGATGAGGTGATGGTGGTGATGAGGTGATGATGGTGATCATGTGATGATGGTGATCAGGTGATGATGGTGATGAGGTGATGGTGATGAGTTGATGGTGTGATGCTGATGGTGATGATGGTGATGATGATGATGGTGGTGATGAGTGATGGTGATGATGACGTGATGATGGGTGATGAGGTGATGTGATGATGATGATGGTGATCATGTGATGATGGTGGTGATAGGGTGATGATGGTGATCAAGTAATGATGGTGATCAGGTGATGATGGTGATGACCGTAATCAGGTTATGGTATTGATGGTGATGATTATGGTAAGGATAGTGATGATGATAACGATAATGACAATGGTAATGATAATGATATTGATAGATTTATGACAGAGATTAGAAGGAGGAAGGAGGAAGAGAGGAGAGGAGAAGCGAAAGGAGGGAAAGGAGGGGGAGAATTAGTAAGTGGTAAAGTAGTAGGAAACGAGGAGAGAGATAAACGGAGGAGAAAGAGAAGGAGCATGAATATGCTGATGAAGGAGAGAAGGAAAAAGGAATTGAGAAGAAGAACGGGAGGAGAAGATAGAGAAATGGAGAGCAGAAGAAGAGGACAAAGAGAGAGATAAGAGAAAGAAAGGAGACAAAATCATACGTAAGAAAATAGGAAGAACGAACAAAAGATAGAAGAACGAAACACAAAAGAAGAAAACGAAGGTAAAAATGATAAATACCGAACGAAAATCGAACGAAAAATGAAGAAAACAAAGAGAATGATAATAATAATGAAAACAAGAAGACGAAGAGAACGCACAAAGGAAGAGAACAAAGGAAACCAAAAATTATAAAAAGGAATAAAATAGTAATAAGAAGAATACCCCCCCTCCCCTAAAAAAAGCAAAATAGGGTAAAGCTATTAAAAAAGAAAAAAGAAAAGAAAGAAGGAAAGAGCAATAAAGATGACAACCAAAGGAAGCAAAAGAAGGGAAAGAGAACAAAGCCCTAAAAGCCCTGTACCCTTTTGTCGGTTATAATTAGCCTAAGCATACGTAAACAAGCCGATAGCGTTGAAATGGCACAGAGAAAGGGAGAGAGGCTGCGTGTACAGGGATGAGGGCGAAGCAAAGAGGGAGAGAGGGAGGGAGGGGGAGGGAGGGAGGGAGGAGGGAGGAGGGGGGGAGGGAGGAGGGAGGGGAGAGGGAGGGAAGGAGGGAGAGGGCGGAGCAAAAGAGGGAGAAGAGAGAGGGAGGGAGGGAGGGAGGAGGGGGGAGGAGAGAGAAGGGAGAGGGGAGGGATGGAGGGAGGGGGGAGCAAAGAGAGGAGAGAGAGGGGAGAGAAGAGAGGGGGGAGGGAGGGGAGAGAGGGAGGGAGAGAGTGAGAGGAGAGAGGGAGAGAAAAAAAAAGAGAGAGAGGGAGGGTGGAGGGAGGGGAGGGAAGAGGGAGGGAGGGAAGAGAGGGGGGGGGGAGGGTATGGAAAGAGGAAAGGGGGATGGGGAGAGAAAAGGGAGGATGGGAAGTGAGAGAAGAGGGGATGGGTGAAGAAAGGAAAGTGGAAAGGGTATGGAACGGGAAAAGAGAGGTAATGGGTAGAGAGGGGGATAGGAAGAGAGAGGAAAAGGAAGTGGATAGGAAGGAAGGGCAAAAGTCAGATGGTTAGAGAAGCGACCGGGAGAGGAAAAAAGGTGAATGGAGAAGGGAAAGAGAAAAACTAAGGAAGTAAGAAAGAACGGACTGGGTAGAGAGAGAGAATTAAAGAGGAGGAAGGGCGGGGGAAAGAGGCAAAGAGGGGAAGGGAAGATAAGGCTGCTGGGTAGAGAGGAAAGGAAGAACAAATTAAATATTGAAGAGAGGGGAGAGAAGGGGGAGGGGAAGGGAAGAAAGTGAAGGAGGAGCTTAGCAGAGACGAGGGAGGCAGGGAGAAGAGAGAGAGAGAGAGAGAGAGAGAGAGAGAGGGAGAGAGAGAGGAGAGAGAAGAGAGAGAGAGAGAGAGAGAGGAGAGAGAGAGAGAGAGAGAGAGAGAGAGAGAGAGAGAGAGAGAGAGAGAGAGAGAGAGAGAGAGAGAGAGAGAGGAGAGAGAGAGAGAGAGAGGGGGGGGGGGATTAGGAAAGGAAGAATAGAAAGAGAAGAGGAAGATAAAAGGTAGGAGGGGGAAAAAATGAAAGGGGATGTACACAGAAAAAGCAGGAAAGAGGCAGGTTAAGAGAAGAGAGAAATGAGAGAAAAGAGAATAGAAAAGGAGGCCAAAGGGAGAAAGGAAGAATTGAAGGATTAAAAAGGGGGAGTGATATGACCGGAAGAAGAGGGGAAGAGGAAGGTCAAAAGGTGAGATGCAAATATCAAAAGCCCAATTAAGGTTACAGTTTGATGAGAGAAGAGAGAGAGGAGAGGAGAGAGAGAGAGAGAGAGAGAGAGAGAGAGAGAGAGAGAGAGAGAGAGAGAGAGAGGAGAGAGAGAGAGAGAGAGGTTTGAGGGAAGAGAAGAAGAGGGAGAAGAAGAGAAGAGGAGAGAGAGAAAGAGAGAAAGAGACGAGAGAAGGAAGAGAGAAGAGAGAGAGAGAGACGAGAGACAGGAGGAGGAGAGAGAGGAGACGAGAAAAGAGAAGAGAGAGAGAAAGAGATCACCTGACGAACCGAGAGAGAGGAGAGAGAGAGTAGAGAGAGAGCGGAGAGAGAGAGAGAGAGAGAGAGAGAAGAGAGATGAGAGAGAGAGAGAGAGAGAGAGAGAGAGAGAGAGAGAGAGAGAGAGAGAGAGAGAGAGAGAGAGAGAAGAGGAAGAGAGAGGAGAGAAGAGAGAGAAGAGAGAGAAAGACGATAGATAGATAGATAGACAGAGACCACAAGGAGAAATAGAAGATAGAGAGAGAAAATAGAGATAGATACAGAGATAGAGAGCAGAAAGACAAGAAAGAGAAGAGAGAGAGAGAGAGAAAAGAAAAAAAAACAGATACGGTGCAGAAAGTTCAAAGTTCACGATATCCACATATTCGTAAATTCTCTTTGCCAATTCAGAGATTGTTTTGAAAACGGAACTACGCCCCTGCTCACTGTAAGAACGTTTTCAAATAGTTCTCTCTCCAAATAGTGTAAGTGTTTCAATACCGAACGTTATCTCTCTTGAGGTCATAACTAGGAGTAATTTGAAATAAATGTATGTTAACAAGCAAGAGAGGCTGTAATGCTTGACGTAATTTCCATATTATTATTAGCTAGACACACTCACACTCCTTTATGTATATATGTATATTAATAATACATATATATACATATATATATATATATATCTATATATATAATATATATATATATATATATATATATATATATATATATATTATATATATACATATATAATATATATATATATATATATATATATATATATATATATATATATATATATATATATATATATATATATATATATTTGAAAAACAGCAATACTGTGAGTTTCTTCTTATGTGACATGAAAATTCGTAAAAGTAGGGGCTTTATTTGACATCGACGGGAAAGATTTTTCTTCTTTTCAAAATATTATCAAGACAAAACATCCTAACACGACACTCTCATATCTCTGTCTACTGATGACTTCAGTGTCGTTTCCTATCCCTTCAGGCTTTGTTACCTTTCACTGTTGTTATTATTATCATTAAAAAATCTTATACAGCCTTTTCTTATAACATGATATTTTGAAATAAGATTCATCATCATCACCATTACTAATAAGATTTTTGTCATTGTTTAATTCAGTTGCATTGCACTTGTAGTTACAACCTTCACTTGCTAAATTTTACTTATTTTCATAAGCTTTAAAATGTTTTTTTTTTTAATGAAATGTTTATCAAGGTAGATCAAAATGAATAGATAGATGCAGATGTGGATATAAATACATATACAGATACAAATATAGCTATATATTTGAACAAACAGACTGACAAATAGATATATATATAGAAAACTACCAAAATAAATAGACAAATTGGCAGGTAGGTAGATCCGCAGATAGTAAGTTATAAAAAGCTTAATAGATAAATAGAAAGGCTAACAGACTGATAGAAGTATAGATATATGTATATAGGAAAATAGATGGTTAGATAGGTTGTCAGGTAGATTATTATCAAGCAAAAGATTAAATAAAGTATATAGCAAATGCTTTATGGAACTCGTCCAAAACCTAAAAATGGCAGCAGATAATTTGTCAATAGAAACTTTTTCGATGTTTATTAATTTGTGAGCCGGATCTCCCTCTGTCATTTTGTGTTATAATATTGATATGCATTATATGTACTTTTATTTCATCGTTCTGACGCACATATGAACACAAATAGGAATGAGAATGACAATACACACACACACACACACACACACACACACACACACACACACACACACACACACACACATATATATATATATATATATATATATATATATATATATATATATATATAGTATATAGATATAATATATATATATATATATATATATATATATATATATATATATATATATATATATATATATATTTACATACGAATAAATTTATACAAAAACTTGCGTGTACATATGAGTACTATGAAGTACACACAGGAATACACACTGCCATGAATACCAATGCAT